ACGGAGCTTCTGCAGACCCCGTGAGCTCTGGGAGCGCTGTCTTCGGAAGCTCAGCGTGTGTCAGTACTTGGTGCGTATGTGGTAACAGGGTGTTAGACCCGCGAGGCTTTGCACGGGATTGGACGCGTTTTTGTGTAATTCCCAGGTTTCTCATGAAGCTGAGCCATGAGACTGTGACCATTGAACTGAAGAATGGGACGCAGGTGCATGGAACTATCACAGGTATGGCGGGATGGGAGCCGAGGACAAAGCATTGCCTGTTTACCTTTCTGCTAAGGTTTGGGCTGAGCTTTTGTGTTCTGAACTCCCTCTTGTGGGGAACCTTCTCTGTAAGACACAGGAGATGTTATTTTTAATTCACGTCTTTATGTGGAAGCTGAAACAACACGTGTTTGTTACAGAAGAGTGGACGTTTGCAGGAGCTGCTGGGAAGCAGTAAGTTCACTGTGTTCCTGTGAGCCTCTGAGCCTGACTGCAGGCTTTGCTTGCCAACAGGCTTGGGGGTGAAGGAAGTAAACTTTTCCAAACTGTTGGCAAACCACTGGTAGGCATGGTATTCTCTTCAGAGTTTTAGCAGCATGGTAATGCTGGTGAGGTAGTTTTACAACCATATCAAACTGGTAGTGGGTGTACAGCTAAACTTTTAAAGATGTTTCAGTACATCTGATTTTCATTTGTGAGATTGTAAAAAGCTGCAGGCACGTAAAACATTACAGCTGAATCACCAGAAGAGGGGGGACTTATTTTAATGGTAGTACAAATAAATGGTAAATCTTAAGTGTTGACGTGGCCTTAAATCGGTTAAACTTTGTGTGTTGGCAGTTTTAATCTAAAAATTAATTATTTCTGTTGAGTGTGTTTTAGCTCCAGCTAAGGTGAACTTATAAGGAAGTGCATTTTTGCATATACTTGCATTGGTTTCATGAAACTGACTTGAAAACAGAGAGCTTGATGGGGGACAGGAGGCAAAAAGGAATCCTGTGGCCATGAATCTGATCCCTGCTGTTGCCAAAGGCCTGTCATGTAACAGGAGTTTGTGGGTGTTACTGTCTAGCAGCTGCTTCTTTGCGTCACTGACTGGTAGTTGCAGGAAAAGCCTTGATGGTTCGTTTTATGATTCTCACATGTACTGAAAAATGTGCAAACTATTTAGTTTGTTTTAATAATATCAGAGATATTACTCTGGCAACATTCCTGTTGGCGTTACTTCAGAGATGATCAGGTACGTAGCTGGGGCACATCGTATTTAAAGAAGCAAACCCTTATGGTTAAGTTGAGGAATGTGCTTGATCTCCTTTCCTTCACTCACCCCAGGCTACTTTTAGAAGTTTTTCTGCACAGATACTGTTAAAAAAAAAAAAAGAATAAAAAAATCAAACTTGGCAAAGTTGTATTCCAGGGGATTGCTTAGGTGCCTTTTTGGCCAGTAGCAGTCTGCTGAGATTTGTCAGTTAAAAACTGGCATGATTTTGCAGCCGGATCTCTCAGCTTTGATTAGAGCTGAATGCACCACCCTGGTGTCTGATTGCAGCATGCTCTGTTGAACCCAGCTAGGTAGGAAGCAAATGACTGCTTGTCTCCTGACCTCGGAGCTCTTGCAGGCTTAGTTGTTAAACAAAGTTCTTAATTTTCTGCTAAGAATCTGTAAGAACTGTGAATGCAATCTATGTTTCTAAAGTGACCGCCTTCCCTTTATGCTGGTGCAGGAACCGTGTTTGTAATTGCTGTGTCTGCAGGTGGTACCATCTCCTCTTCCTCCCGGTGGGTGGGTTGGCCAGAGCAGGCGTGCTGCAGGGGGGCTTCGTGTAATGCAGACCCTACCCAAACCCAGGGGGGTGCAGGTGTCCCAGAGCTCTGTAAAACCTACAACTAAAGGGGAGAGGACAGAAAAATACTTGGGATAAGCGCAGCGTAATGGTTCTTCTGGTCTGCTACTCATGTTTACGTTGGTGAGACATCTTAATGGTTTGTTTTTCTGTGTTTATGAAGTGAGACAATAATATTTTTAACCACAAAGGGTTGTTTGTACAAAAGTTTGAACACACGAGATTTTGCTCACGTGGGTGCTCTGTCACTGAATTAGCAAGTGTTTGTAAACTACAATTTCTACCTTTTGCCTGAATTTTTGATCTGAAAAAGTTGGTCTCATTTTGCTCTTGGTAGTTCAAGATCAAGTTCCATGCAAGACTTGTGATATGCAAAATAGCAATTAATATAGGGCGCTTTTTAATGCTTTTTGGGGTTGTTACTCAATACACACGTTCAACTGAGCCTTTTTTCCAGTGTTGGATTGTGCTTAGTGCTGCGTAGTGCGCGCAGTACTGGTTCCACACAACTCTTACACACTGGCTGTTCACAGTTTGTAGCCACAGTGGTTGCTCCTTACACTAGTGTACGAACTTCCATAGAAGATACTGCACTAGTTTTACGTGTATTTTATAAGAAAACAAATGCTTCTTTGGCAGTTGGACTTTTTATAAGGCTTATAGAAAGAGGAAATTATCAGGTTATTTTTCCTCGTCAAAAGTTTATTTTGCTTCTTTTTAAAAGAGTCACAAGCCTAGTATTGGATTTCTGTAATAAGCAGCAGTTTATTTGTTATTTAAAGGAATTGCTTTAACCCTTTACAAAACTGTTCTGGCTGTTGCTAACACCTAGGTAAAGATCTCTAGCAACGAGGTGTTGAACGCAGCAATGGATTAATTAGCGAGCATAGTTTAAGAGAGGAAAGGACATGTAGCTTGCTTCAGTTAGAGGCTTAATTAATGAATGGTAGAAGCAAGTGTTAATGAACAGGACAAATCTTGAAGCATGGGCATACTTAGAAATAGCCGACAAGGGAGCACTTTGTAGGCGTTCATCCCTGAACTGAGACTCGTGTTGTTTCAGGGGTGGATGTCAGTATGAACACGCATCTCAAAGCAGTGAAAATGACGCTGAAGAACAGAGAACCCGTTCAGCTGGAGACGCTGAGCATTCGAGGGAATAACATCCGGTACTTCATTCTCCCGGACAGTCTGCCTCTGGATACTTTGCTAGTGGATGTGGAACCAAAAGTCAAATCCAAGAAAAGAGAAGCAGGTTAGTTTGTGCTTTCCCAGTCTGTGTTTGTTTTGCCTTTGAACACACGTTAGTACTCTGAAGCTGAAGACATCTGATGTAAGTGTCTTAACGTCTGCATTTGGCAGCTGGTTCTTTGAGGGTTTGATACTGACCTGGCTAAGTCTGCTGTCCACCTTGCTAGCACCTGTAGAGCTTGCTTTCATGTGAAATTAAGTGTATGGCTTTTCATGCATCTCTTTTGAAAAATGTAAATGTTTTCAAGCTTGAGTAAATCTTAACCTGCCGCAGTCTCAGCGTTGACACCAGAGAGATTTACATTTCCTCTTCTCCGAATGTCTGCTGTGTTTCTCCAGCTTGTAGGGGGGACTTCACATAGCCTAGTGAGAAAGTACAGAACTGCCTCTTGAACAGTGCTGAATGCTTCACTGAAATCTCACTCGTTTGTGGATAAAAATAGTCTGTCAAGAGAACTGAATTTGTGAGACTTGAGAATTTGGGGGAGTCTGGGCTGTATTCCGAGGAGCAGCTCTCTAGCTTTGGCTCCAAATAATGTTCCACTCTGCACAATTCCTGGAACTTTTTTTTCAAAAGGCTGTTGAAGAAAAAACTTTTCCTTAGAACCTAACAGTAGAGAGAGTAATTCAGTTTTAATCCACGCTATTAAAGATTAATATCCAGTAATCCCCAGAAAATCTGTAGGTTGTCTTCAGACAGTATATAGCTTGCCTAACAGTTACCACCCACTTCCACAGAATTTTAAGCTTCTTGGTATCTTTTTGAGCCTTGCAACCTGATGGGACAGGTCATGTTTCTTTAGGAAAAAGGGGTGAAATTACATTTTATCGACCTGAGGATCATATAACCTCGAGCAGTTCCTTGCAGCCTGAATTACTCTGTGATTGTGTCTCCCCTTTCCCATTAAGTAGCACTGTGTAAAGCAGGAACACCCAGCCAAGAGCTTAGCCTGAGAGTCACGTCTGAAATGGGCAGAGGCATCATTGAAAGCAGCAGGAGCTGCTTGATGCTGGGATGCTTTCGAAATGCTGCCCTTTCGCGTGGCGCATGAGAAGGGCTGAGTTTGGGGATCTCACAGCATGTTAGAACTGGCTTTTCAGCAGTGTCCTTTATAAACCACAGTGCAAGCTGTGCCCAAAACAAAATGTTTTCTGCTGCAGTGAATAGCAAACAAAATACTCTGTTGTGTACGTGCTTTTTCTGATTCCTGAAAAACTAGATTTTTCAAAAAAAAAAAAAGGAATTCTAGTTCTGTGTTAGACTTGCCCTAGCACTTGGGAGCAGCCAAGTGTTCCATCCCCGTGTTTTCTGCAGTGAAGCCAAAGGCAGACAGTGGCCTATGGAAATTTATACTGAAAAACCCAATGCAAAAGGTGAAAATATTGCCTGAAATGTACTGACTTGGTATCTGACCTACTGCTTCCCTGCGACAAGACATTGTGTTGTTTATGCTTGATGCAGAATGTTTTAATTGAGATGAAAGTATTCCTGAGTCTCACTTGATTTATCCTTTCTGTTTCATCTTCTAAGTTGCTGGAAGGGGCCGTGGCAGAGGCCGTGGGAGAGGCCGAGGTCGTGGAAGAGGAAGAGGGGGCCCAAGACGATAACTTCTCACCACGCAACTCTTACCAAATTTGGGGAAGTTTCGGATATTTTTTTGTACAGGTCTTGTTTATGGTATCCATTTTTAATAAACTGAAATGTGAAAAAGTTGTCTTTCCTTTGCTAGTGAAGGCTGGGGAGGGAAGCATGTCCTTTTTCTAGAGGCTGGTGCAGACTAAGCATGTCTTGTTGGTTCTCATTGGCAAGGTTGCACCCACCCCTGAAGGCTGTACAGTTACCTCTTGCTGCTTCCCCAGAGTGTTGGTGTGTTTTAGCAATGTTTGTTTGAAATAATCCCCCCTTTGATAAGGCACTTGCCATCTTCTAATGGTTACAGAGCTAAAGACACTCTATTAAGCACCCTCATCCCGTGCCTGTGTCTCTAATGTTGTTCTGCAGAGTGACCTCTCTAAAGTTCATCGATAGAATTTTACTGTTTTCTGTTAGATGAAGGTTACAGTTTAAACACGTTGCTTTCTTTATACACCCTTCACACAGGGAAATGAAGGAGTTCTGTGGAACTGCTGGATTGTTACATCTCATGATTAAAGTACACCTGGATACGAACTTTGTCAGAGCTAATGATATGGCATACTTTTGTTTGGGTGGGGCTTGTCAGGCATCTTTATCACAGAGTTCTTCTAGTGTACTGGAAGTGCATCCCTAGAAAATACAGAGTACAGCACAGTGCACAGTTACATACTGGAATTGGAAGTTTACTTCTGGAGAGGAGAGAAATTCTGCAGCTCATTGTGTGTGTATATATATATATATATATAAAATATA